GGGACTCCATCTGCCCGGAGCCTGGTAGCAGGAGACTCCGCAGATTTCCTGAGCTTCATCCGAGCTCTGATGCTGGGGTCCTGGCAGCGGCCTTTCCCTCCATAAGGGACGGCCTGCTTTTCTGCATGTGAGAACGCTTCCGCCTCTTACAATACAAGGTTTGATTTCACATGTGTCAGCGGGAGGCACAGACTCATAAGAATAGAGATTCCCCCGGGGAAACAGATGGAGAAGAATCCCCGGGCAACAGTTAGAAACCAGCCCTTAAACTACTCCTGCACCTGCTCCTCCGTGTCAGTCATGAGCTCCCTGGTTCCAGTCCGCCCCCTGTTGCCCGGCCCCAGCCCTGCGAGGGAGGTTTGTGTCTAGGCTCCCACTCACTTCCCCTCACTGTGTCTCTCGCACAGTAATACACGGCCGTGTCCTCGACTTTCAGACTGTCCATTTGTAGATACACTGTGTTCTTGGCATTGTCTCTGGAGATGGTGAATCGGCCCTTCACGGAGTCTGTGTAGTACTTGGTACTACCACCAGTACTAATGTACGCGACCCACTGCAGGCCCTTCCCTGGAGCCTGGCGGATCCAATTCATGTTATAATTGCTGAAGGTGAATCCAGAGGCTGCACAGGAGAGTCTCAGGGACCCCCCAGGCTGCCTCAGGCCTCCCCCGGACGCCACCAGCTGCACCTCACACTGGACACCTGCAAACACAGAGACACCCTTGTCAGGAAACCGTCACACATGTCCACTGTTTCTCTCACTCATGACCATTCACATGCACTTTCTCTCCATAAAATGACCTTTTAAAACAGCAACAAGGAAAATCCAGCCCAGCACAGACTCCATGGGGACTCCTCTGCGTTCAGTCCAGATCACTGAATGGGGACACCTGGTATGCCAGGGTTGGGACTCCTCTCCCAGAGCTGCAGGGTTGGGGCTGGGCTGGTTTTCATTAGCTGAGGGAGGGCCCTATTTGCATATTCTCCTTCTATATAGCAAACTATGGGGTTGGATGACTTCAGAGGGACCAGTGATTCAGAGCAGATGTAACTGTTCTGGGGAATTTGATGGCAATGATGGCATTTGGGAAACCATCATTTCTCATTATGTGATTGTGCTGAGCTAAACCCTTAATTCCCACTGTCTTATTCATGGTTACATATGCACACCAACCATGTGAGGTAGATGTCAACACTACCTTTATTGAACAGATGTAAAAAGGCAAACAGCTGTTCACTGGGATCTGTGAGGTGTAAAACATAATTTAGTAGG